TTACCTATACCATGAGGCTAATAACGGTCTGTCATAGCCATATGAAACCTTTGTATCTCAGCATTTTAAATCAAAAACTTTATTGTATTATTTTTTTGATGACCAATGTGAACATATTATAATAATATAATTTATATAACTTTAGTTGGGATGTCTCCCATAAGGCTGTGGAGATCACTGGGGCTTCTGATCAATAAACAGGAGCTGGTTAAAAATGTTACCAGGCAGATGCTTTCTTATCAATCAGAGTCCTGTCCAATAATCCCAAACCCAAGGGATTTTGCTTACTCATCTTAATAAAATATAGTTTTTATTTTTTATTCATTCATTTATTTATTTTTGATGACTGATAAAAAACCCAATCATAACATTTAACCCATTAATTTTTTTAAACAGTGAGGCTCTGAAGTCCATAATAAACAACAATATATATTACATTTATATATCCAGTCTTTGTGTCATTTGGGCCAGGGGGCAACCCAGGTGGAAGCATGCTTTGTAAATCTATAACTCAAACAACCCTTTGATCAAATGATCCAAAAATGCAAAAAAAAAAAAAAAAAAAAAAAAAAAGAAAAGAAAAAAGAAAAAATTGTTGAGCTCAAAAAAAAAAAAAAAGGAACAGCTGTTTACAGAGTGGACAAATGGACAAACATGGATAGACGATTTCATAAATGATCTCTACAGATTCAAACAAACACAGAAACAGGCACACAGTTTGTTGGGGTCTGTGAGAGCCCTCTAAGTTCCTCAGGGGCTATTTATATACTTGTATCATGCCCCTTGATAAGCTGGCTCACTTCTTACACCCTGTGTTCTCAGTGTTGGAACACCGGTTCATCAGCATCACCCCATGCCCTCAGGGCACTTGTCAGGTGCTCTGTGCACATGGGCACTCCTGTATGGCACTTGTGCTTGGACTCCATATGCGTGAATGATCACTAGTTCATTTCACTCCCAACAACTGCTTACACACACTGGACAAACAGCCAACAGATACACAGACAGACTGACAAACAATTTACACATCAGAGTGCACTCAAATATATTTTTAGCACAATTGAATTATAATAATTGTTTACAATTTTAGACCTTATACCTATAAATTGACTAGGCAGATTTTTTTATAGGTCAATTAGCAGAGAACTCACATGAAAGGACTGAGTAAAGACAAAAATCTTCCCTATAATTAACATTTTATATTTTATCATTAAAATACTAGTAACTCGTGCATCCCTTTCTTTCATTAAACTTTCAGTGTGGTGATCTTTATACACTCAACACCTATTTAGACCTTTAGTTTTGTTTTTGAATACCATCTCCTGAGCATCCTAGGTCAGTTAAGGTTCATTTTAGTTTCATCCTTTTCCATCACTTGTGTGGTTTCTGAGGCATCACTGTCATAGGACTGAGTAGCAGCTTCTGGAGAGGTGGAATCAACTCCTGTGCATTCGGGTCCATGATACAGCCAGACTGTGGCACCCAGCTAGGCCATTCAGCGTTCTCCAGAAAAACACAAGCACACCCTCAACCTCACATTAGCACTGGACTGGTGCTTTTAATGTCCAGTATGAAGGTCTTTCCAATGGACTTTTTAGCTTTTATTTGATTATATTATCTTTCTATTGCAGTAGCTACATCCTTATTAGAATTTTAAAAATTTTAGATAGTATTTTCTGACAAGTGAAATCTATTATGAGGTGAACTCTCCCTCTTGTTTTTTGAAATTTAAATTGTGAGCACATTTAATTATTTATGGACCTGAAGATTATAAGTGATTTTTGTGGTAAGGTATAGAGAAAAAAAGAAAACTGCATTTTCTACTTAGGCACTTTGGGCTCTCTCTTGCTGTGGTGACACAGGTCGTGTTCCTGCTCTGGCCTGGAGGCCCCACTGTTGTTGGGGACCCCAGTGCCAGTGCAGTGTAAACTTTTGATGCATCAAGCGCATATAAAACCCAGATGGCTCTGGCTGACCAGAGCTGGGTCCCACCCTTCAGGAACCTCATCCATCTTCCCAGCTCTGGGCCCAGTTCTGTGTTGCTGCCAGCAGGCCAGTCATTGAAAGGCATAGCTGGCCCTGGTGGTGCTCACTCCTCAGCATACTGGAGGCAGGACTGTAAACCCCAACTCCAAGGCATGGTCCCACCTCACAGAGCCAGGCCAGGCCAGCCAGGCCAGGAACAGTTCTCTGTGCCTGACACCATTTATATGTACTTTTAAAGGCAAATTTCTGAAATGACTTTAGCCCCTGAAGGCTAGAAATCAAATCTTGGGATGTCTCTCTCACCCACTGAAGAAATTTTCCTCCACACCCTTGTGACTGTGATTCTAAATTGATCATAAATTTATAGCTTAAAAGTAAGGCACTTGCATGTGGCAGCAGAGGCATGCTGTATCCCTCCAGGCTAAATCAATTTAGCATTTTTACTAGGGTGAGAAACATTGCTCAGACCTGTAGAGCTGTAGTTGTCACATCCGAGGCCATGCCACAGGCCCACGGCGCTGAGGCACTTGTTCCTCTGTCTAAAAGCCCTTTAAATGCTTTTTCTTTACTTGTCAATTGTATATTAGGATTGGCCTGCTTAATCTGTGGAACCCAATAAGTATCAGAGTATCCAAAACCCTTAGACAGCCTTTTTAATTTATAGATTTCCCAATTTTTGTCAAGGGAAGAATAACCAATTGAGCAATGCAAGAATCCGGGGAGATTGGAGGTCTGTTTTGAGCAGACTGAACTGTAACCTTGGTGTTCCCTTGCAGCAAAACAAGCAACCTTGTTTCTTTACCTCCTTGTCTTGGCCAAGCTCCAGGCCCAGTGGAGCTCTCTGGTTCCCTGCTCTAGTTGGGACTTGATTTTGAAGTGTTGAACCAAGCCAGTTACCTTGTGGCCATCCCCACAAGCCCATAATCATCAAGACACCTTTTAATCAACATCTACAAAAGAAGAGTAAATACTGGAATCAAACATACAACAAACAGTTGCATATACATTTGTGATTGTTTAGAATGTATTTGTCCCGTTCCTAACAACTGGTAAGATAGAGACACTTTTTTCCCTTGGTTACTTGTTAAGCCAGTTTTCCCTTTGAATTCTCTTAGCCTGTTTGTCTCTTTGGCTTCTCCTAAGCCCGTCTGTGTTTCCCTTGTTGGGCACAAATGAGAAGTGTCCCCTCCCCCACCGATTCTTCTTAATCCTGTTCCATATCCAAATCAGAAGCTATTGATTACAAGCTCTGTAATGGACTCAAAACTGAATCACCTGGGATCTAAATTGAGAACGTCTTAGTGGGAAATGATTTTTCCTGTGCTTTGTGCCTTTTTAAGATTTTTTTTTCCAGCTGGTTCCCAATTATCAATATCTATAGTGCCTATCTGAGGAAATGACACATTATATTTGGTTACTTATTTTAACCTTTTTCTAAGTCCTTTTTTGGGGGCACATAAACCCCTGAACATTTGAGCAGGCCTTACAGTAGCTGCACATAACTTTGCTCCTCTGCTGAACGCTTTTGCCTATTTTTGTTGTTGTTTCTAGGAATGGAACTCATGGCCTTGAGCTTGCCAGGCAGATGCTCTGCCGCTGAGCTACATCTCTGGCTCTGGTTTTACTGTTGGATAAAACAGCTTGTTCACAGCAGGAAGACTCAGCCTTGTTCTTCCCTCTCTTCTCCTGGTGTCCCCGGTGAGGTTTTTCATCCTGTGAAGACCTCCTCCTTACCCAGACTTTCCACTCAGGGTGGGCTTACTTCTTCAGGCTACAATTCCTAGTCCAGGGTTTCAGGTTTCTGTTCCAGGCACCAGTTATCGGGTACCTGGCCTAGATCTCCAATATCCCAAATGAGTGTACAGTGAAGGCTTAACATAAATGACATTAGTGGTTTGATTTTAGGGCTCCAGGAGGATCACAGCCCTCTACAGAGTTCAGGGACTCTAGTGGTTAAGACAGGGAGTGTCTCTGGGTCACCCATATTTACTTAGATACAGCAAATTGAACAGAACTTATGAGTGATTCAAAGATTTTGCAAGTAGCAAATTATGTTAACAAGAAGAAGTATCTTAGGAGAAGACCCTCATGTTGCATTTCAGTACAGGGATGAAATGCCTGTGGCTACGGTCTTTATGTAACTGGACTTGGAGTCTGGTGTCCTCAGCCTTTATCTTGCCCCAGCCATGTAGCAGCCCTGCACATGTGTTCAATTTCCAGTTTTTCAAAATATACATATATTTATTTTTTCTTTTAAGGAGAGTAACATATAGCAAAACAAGACAAAACAAAGCCAATCGAGACAATGCAGTGAAACTGTTACAGAACTTCAGAGCAGGATAACAGTAATGGCTTCCATAGTATATCTTGTTATTTTCACAATAGTTGTCCATTCAATAAGGTATAGGAAAAGCAAACCAAAGCCAGAACACCATACAACCAATCAAAACAGAATATTGAATACAGCAAAACAATCAGAACAAAGCAAAAGAGTGAAAATATTTGCCTTCAAAGACAAGATAGAAGGAAATCCCCCTATTTGCTATATTGCACACAGTCATCCTCCCAAGAGATGCTAAGACCTCTGGCCGCAGGTCAGCAGAACCAGCCAAACTTACAAGCATTTAGTTGCTCTGTGTACCTTAGGTGTTATCAAAGCGGCCTTTGCTCAACACCATCCAGTTACTAACAGGGCAGGAGACAAGATGTTTGATTCTCAGTCCACATGCAGGTAGGCTCACAGGAGACACTGGCTTGTTCTCCCCTGGGTGTGCCTGCAGCTCACACCACTTACCAGGAAGGCTGGCTCGTTGCTTTCTTGGTGGGTCCCTCAAGTTCCAGCATGGCTGATTCTCGGGAGACACTGGCTTCTTCTCGCCCTTTCAGTAGCTCCCAACAGCCAGTGTTCTTCAAGCCTGTGTGCACAGGAGGACTTGGTGCTGTGTGTCTCCATTAGATAATGGAGACAAATGAATCTTAGGGGCACCAAACAAATTGTCCCTCCTCCCCCTCTTCCATTATGTTCCAGTGGACTGGGAAAGCCTGGCTAAGCCAGGTGGGGATACTTCCTGAAGGAAAGTTGGGAGTCAGTAGGTGCTATTGTATTAAGGTTTCTCCTTCTCTTTGGCTTTACTATCACTTTTTTCCTCTTTGTAAAAACTAGTGAGTTAACATGCTGGCTCTGTTTAAACTTCTCCAGGTCTGGCAGTCTGCTTCCACAAAGTCCCTGGGCACCGAGGAAGGGCTGTGGTACAATCTGCCTGGCCTCTCTGACATTTTTCTCCTGTACCGTCTCCACCTTTCCTGGTGACTAGACAGCTGGAATCTGGCCACAGGATGGTGCTTCTGGGCTCAAGTTCTTCCTCATTCCATTTCCCTTGGGGTGTGTTGGCAAGAGGCGAAGATTTCTGTCACTTGCAAGAGAATGTTATGTCAGGCTTTCCTAGCTGTACGGTATTAAGTTTATCATTTCTTAGCTCTTGAGTAACTCCACCATCTCCCTTGCTTCAGGGGAGGCTGGCAGTGCCCTGTGTGGCATGTGAGTGCGGCTCTGTGAGCTCTGAGGCTGAGGCCAGACGCAAGGTCTGGAGGTTTGCTCCTTTGCTGGACGGCAGTGTTTGCCCCTGTGCCAGGTGGGCCTTTCGTTGTGGATCTCCATCTGCCCAGGTGTTGGTCTCTTAAGGTCTTTGTTCTAACTAGTTGTGTTCAGACTGCATTCTCTTTTTCTCTCTTGGTTTTTCCCCTTTCTCCTGGAAGAGACCTGTGCCACCAGGAGGTGCTAATCTGTCCTGTTTGGCTCCTTCTGAAAAACTACCATTTTAATGATAATGAAAATCCTTTTCTTACAGGAAGAGAAGGAAGTGCTTAAACCTCCTCTGGCCTGAAAGTCTGTTGTCCTCTTGTCCTACTCGTCATCCTGGGTGTGCAGCCTGAACCCCGGGGCCTCTAGCTACGTGTGAAGCCAGGCTGCCTGGCACAGACAGCAGGCCCAAGGTTTCTGTTGTTCTTTTCTTTTCTTTGGTTTTGCTTTTTGCTTTTTGGGACAGGGTCTGATTTTCTAGTGCAGGGCTGGCCTTGAACTCATAACAATCCTCATGGCTTAGCCTCCTGAGTACTGGGATTCCAGGCTTGTGCCACCATGCCTGGCTTCAAAGTATCTAAATATTGCTCTGTGTACACACCAGCTGGAACTGCATTACAGAAAGAAGCAGGGACTCGGGACGGGGCTGTTGTTCTGAGACCTCATCTACCCTGTTCAAAGCTGCCTGTGGGGGTAGAGCAGAGGTCATCACAACCTGAGAGTCTTTATTGGTAAATGAAAACGGCAGCTCCCAACCTCTGGACTGTACCTAAGCAACTCCTCTGGCAGGATTTCCTCTCCTATGCACAAGTTAAGACTGTCTGACTTTATTTTAATTTTGAGACAAGGCCTTCCTAAGTGGCCAGGTGGGACTCAAGCTTGCAGTCCTCTCACCTTAACCTCCCAGAATGCTGGGATTACAGGTGTGTGCCACCAGGCCTGGCTTACTGTGCACAAGACATTCTTAAGGACACTAGCCTGTGTGTGTGTGTGCATGTGACACATACATATATGATTACATGCTTGTGTGGAGAGAGTGATAAGATTAGTGCTCGATGACATTAAGCAGGATTCTGCCTTGAGTCTTAAGCTCACAGACTTTCACTGCTTTGGTTAAGGAGTATTGCTACCTTTCTTAAGGTCCTTGCTAAATTCAGTTGGTAATCTCCTGAGACATGAATCTAGCAGAGATAGCATGTGATGCATTTCACTCCCTATGAAGGCTTTTCCCTACAACCTCCAGGATTTGCTCCAGCTCCTCAGATCCATCTCTAGCATCTGAGCTGCTGCACAGTTCCTGCCCAGGTGCAATCTTTTATTGTTGTTATCATGAAAAACTAGAAAAATACCCATTTGTGAAGTACCAATTGATGTCTTTGTCTTGCACCTGTACTTACTAAGGGTTAGATTTATTGGTCTCTTTTGGCATTGAGTTTCAAGGGCTGCTTCCTACAGTTGCTAGTGATTATGATGTTGCTAGCTCATCCCTGGACAAAGTCCTCAGTGGGCAGGGGCCCTGGCACCCAGCAGTGTTATCAGGCAGGGTCACAAGCCCCTCACTTTGTGGTTTCTGAGTCTTTGAGAAGTGGGAGTTAACCTGTAATCCTCAGTGAAAGGAGCCACAAAGCACACATTGATTCTTTCTCTCGCCACTTCTTTTGGTTACTTTTCTCTTGTTGCTGAGACAAAATACTTGACACCCAAAGTGAAGAGAGGAAAAGTTTATTTAGCTTACAGTATTTGGAGGTTTCAGTCTGTACTCTGCTGGCTCCAAGGCAGGGTGGTGTGGCACAGGGGCAACCCTTCATGGTGGTGGCAGGTACCAAAGATGACAAGAGCTAGCAAAGGGAAAAAAGGGAAGAGATTGCCTTCTTCCTTATATTGTATACAAGCTTCTTGCCCCAAGGTGGGTGCAGCACTCACACAGCCAATCCCAGCATTAGACAATGAACCAATCACAAATGCTAGATGCAGTGACTTCCATGCCTGCATGAGGCTTTGTGGGGACATCCAGACACAAACCTTGACACCTGTCCTGCTTTAGGTGATTATGGTCTCTGAGCTCTGTTTACCCTGTGAGTCCTAGTCTCAGTTCAATACTTGGTTTTGCTCTCAACTTTCATTGTGAGGATGCAAAAGCTTTTAAAAATATATATTTTAAGCTAAGTAGGAAGGACCTTAAGCTGAGGCATGGATTTAAGTTAGGCATAACAGAGACCTTACAAGTATTAATTTTATAAAACTGTCTCTCTCAAAACTTGTAATATGTCTGGCCATAGCTGCCTGCTTAGCAGTGTGCATAAGACTGAGGTTGAGCACTCAGTAGGGGACAGAAGGACACCCCAGAAGGGCCAAGAGAGCAGGGCCCTCTGTGGCCAGAAGGGTGTGCTGCATGGGCCAGGCCTCCCCTTTCCCTTCCTTTTTCTTTCACTGGGCTTTTGGAAACCACTCCAAGGCCAAGGGCCTGGCCAGCATGTGTCCCCTGTTGTCTGTTCTGCGTGTCCCATGTCTTCTGCTGATGAATGAAACTGAGTGGAGCCCTCTCAGCTGCTTGCATGCTCCTTTCTGGGTCCCTGTACATACTTTCCCTGCAGGGGCCCACCCAGCCCAAGGGAGCAGCTGCAGCCTGCATGGTGGGCGTCAGGGTACTGGGAAAGTCCTGGTCAAAGTCCTGGCTGTTGGTGGTATTTGTTTCTATGTGCAGAAATTACTGCATCCATCGGTTTCCAGAAGATGGGCACCATATGCCTCAGGGGGCTTCTGAGACAGCCTTTTGTAGCTTTTGAATAGCAACAGAGCACTCAGCCACCTGCTGTATCATTGTCAGTGGAGGACAAGATGAGGGCATGTGCCCCAGCAGCCACATACAACCCACAAGGGTGTGTAGCCAGCCAGCTTCCACTGGGGGAAGATTCTCTGGGGGAGTGGTTGTTGCAGGGAACTTTCCCCCCTGATGGCATGTGGGCCCCAGAAACCTGATACAGGCCTTGGCCAGTGAGACCTTCAAAGGCTGCTACCAGCCCACTTCCTTTCCTGGGGCTTTCTGCCACTCTGCCCTGACCTTGGCCAATGTGGGACCCCCAGAGTCTGCTCAGGGTCCCATCCCATTCTCCACCCATGACCCTGCCTCCCACAGTTTACTCATTTCTCAGAAAGGTTTTATCCTTGTTTTTTAGTAGAAAGTTTTCTTTGTTTTTGTCATTTTCCCCCCATAGCAAACCCCAAAATTCATTGCCAGCATGAGGGTATAAGGCACGGCTTCTCAACTGGGCACTGTGGGCATTTTGGCTAAACAACCCTAGCTTTGCATGAGACTGTGCAGCACCTCTGGCCTGTCCTCACCATCCCTGGCATCTCCACAAGCAGCTGGGTGACCCTCAAGCCTGGGTTGAGAACCCCTGGCTATCCTGGTCATCTTGTTCAGCCAGCTACATGTTATGGGACTGCTTGGGCCTCTGCTGGTATGGCCTGGCTCTGTTTGAGTTTGCACAGTGTGGCAGGACCTGCTCCCCTTCCTTAGGAGCTACTAGGAAGCTCCTGTGCTCCACCCAAGTGTCAGGCGCTCCTGGTGGCCAGCCACAGGCTCTCCACTTGATTCCCGCTGCAGAGGTCTGCATGCTGTCCTGGGCACTCCTGTGCCTGGAGAGCCTGGAGTACACCCAGGAGGAGTCTGAGCACAGCCAGCTTGGAGGCTGCAGGACTCTTACTCTGCACCACCTGTGTGGTGAGCACCATGCAGGCAGTGTGATGCCCTGGCACCCTGTGATCCTCATCATGCAGACCCTGGGGAGTGACACCATGACAGTTGCTGCCTGTGACCTTCCTGGTCCACATCCTTCCAGGATATGACACGCCAAGGACCCAGCTTTAGCCCCACAAAAACTGGACCAGGGAGGGTCCCAGTCTGCTGAGCCTGGGAGGAGCCACTCTCACTCCAAGCTGCAGATGGAAGGGTACTAGGCTCTGGCTTCAGCAGCTGCCTCTTATCCAGGGACACAATAGCCAGCTTTGAGTAACAGTGGCTCCTCCCAGGGAGGCAGGAGGGAGAGGATTACAGGGAGCCATCATGGCCATGGTCACAGGGAAGGACTCATCAGATTTTGTATAAGAGCTGGTGTGTTTCACTTTGACACCCCGATGACCTGCACAGTGTGGACTGTCCTGGAAATGCTTGGTTCCCACTTCTGCCACAGGTGCTCCTGTCTTTCTGAGGTGATCCACTTCCTCCATTTCCTGTGATCTCACTTAGACCCCAGCCCACTGGACCTCACCCTCCCACAGCAGGCTACAGGGTTGGAGTGGGGCAGTGCTCTGTCTGGTTGTGCTGTAGTGAGGTTCTGGTCTCTGTGGGGGATCTCAGCCAGGCCTCCATGGGATGGCAGGATGGTTAGCAGCATCGTGGACCTCCACCTGCAGGATGCTGAGCCCACTTCCCACCCCTGGGTCTCCACAACCCAAACCAGAACTCCCCAGGCAAGGGGGTGAGATGGGGCCTCGCTGGGAATTGTTGCTCCAGGGCCAGAGAAAGAAGGGTCAGAAAAGTCTCACAAAACCCAAGGCTCCTATATTTTCTTGCTATTACTTTTCCATCCCTGACAGCAGCTCAGCGTCTGACCAGCACCCCCAGATAAACTCACACAGGCTGGGGAATGGGGAAGCTCTCAGGGATGGTGAGGAAGGCCTGTCATTTTAACAGCACGGACACTGCAAGGACACAGGCAAACACCCGACCCAGGCACCATGGAAGGAAGCCAGGCAGTGCTGATCTGTCCCAGCTCCCTCTTTCAGCCCAGGCCAGCTCTAGGCTGGGCACCAGTGGCCGAGCACTCACACAGGGATAGGGTTGTGACCCTGGAGCCAGCCGCTGGTTTTGAACAGTCAGCCCAGGCTCCCATGGGTCTATTCATAGTTAAATTGCTTTCCCTTTTGAGTCTCAGGAACATGGGTTCACAGTGTGTGTGGTCTGTGTCTGGTCCCCTTCTCTCAGGGCAATGATTCTGACTCACACATGTGTCACACAGATATATATCTCCCAGGCCTGCCAGCTGCTGCTGTCAGCACAGAGGCCTCTTGTGATGGCCTCAGACACATGGGTGGCCAGAGTGTCCCTCCTTAGCAGAGCTGCTCAGCAAGGGAGATGACAGGAAAGCTTCCCAGGAAGGCAGTGATATGAGTGTGAGGATCACCAGGAATGGAACAAGTGGTGGTCATAAAAACTCAAGTTTATCATTCTCCCAATTACTCATGAAGTCAAACCAACACTTCATAGAGGATAGCAGCCCTGTGACACAGGCCCTGTGGAGGTGCAGGCAGAGATGGTCACCCAGCACCCTGAGGTGCCCAATGCCAGGGGCTGTGCACTTGAGGGCAATGAGGGTGAGTTCATGTTAGGCACCTTCTGTCCCAATGGAAAGAAGAATAATGGCCAGGTACAGTGAGGTCCACGGTGAGCACAGAAATAAAATGTAGGAAACAGCAGCACACAGCCTGGGAAGGCAGAAATGTCGCACTGTTTCCCTGCACACACGTGGCCTGGTGGGACACGGCTGAAGGGAGGCCTGGCTGACCAATGGCACACGCTGGAAGGCAGCAACATACATGCAACAGGATAGAGACTCAGCAGGGTGAGAGACACGAATACCAATCCAAAGGGAGGAGGAAAATCAGGGAAGAGCAAACAAAGGGTGGGTAAAACAGAGCTGGAAGACAGGCTGGAACCCAGCTGAGTGAACACAGGGCAGTGATTTGCATTCATCACCAATTTCAAAGCACAGACTGTCAGGTGAGATTAACCATTGCACCTACAAAGAAGCTGCTTATTAGCTTTATTTTCCTTTTATGTAGAAATAGTTTCAGATTTTAAGAAGGTCATTGAGTTCCTATACACTGATCACCTGGCTTCTTCAGACAGGAGGAACGTAAGAGATCCGAAGGACGATGAGTGACATTAGGAAGTGGACGTTCCTGCAGTACTGCTAAGTACAGTGGACAGTTCACCTGGGCTTCTCCCATCTGTCTTTTACAGGACCTATCTAGGACTCCACATTGTGTGCAGTGACGGGGACACCGCTGTCTCCTCCCATCTGTGGCGGTCCGCTGTCTACCAGGAACGCTGTCCTTGTTCCTCTGCACAGGTCCCTTGGCTGGCTGCCCGACATTCCCTCATGCTGAGACTATGGTGATGTGTTTCTATCAAGAGCACTGCAGAGTTGACGGTCCCACCCCAGGTGTCACACTAGGAGGGTCATGATGTCCCTAAACCCAACAACTGCTGATGTGATGCTGCATCTTCTTGATGGTAGTGTTTGCCAGGATTTGCACAGGAAATTATTATTTCCCAGCTCTGCTATGGATACCATGGGCTGCTACTTGGAAACTACCTACGTAGACTACCCCACTTCCAACTTCTGCTCAGTCAGGGCCCTGTGCTCTACTGGAATGTGCCTGTCTACTGTGTGCCTAAGGGGAATTTTCTCATTCCGTGTTGCTATCTCTACCTCAGTGGACCAGAAATCCCCTCTGAATATAAGAGTACAATTTGGTCAAAAGAGGATACACAAAGCTCTGGCCAGTTCAATGCCCAAGGCAGTTGCAGTGACAACAGGAGCGTCAGGGAAAGTCAATTTCTGAGTGAAGACTGCATTCCCAAGGATAAAACAGGTTGTTTCAGGAGAAAGACACCAATTGACCACAAGTGTGTAAGAATTCAGAACACATGTGCACAGAGCTTCGAAATGTGCAAAAAACTGATAAAAGGACAACTGAATACAGAATTATAGTCAGACATTTCAACGTCCTCACAATTTAATAGAAAAATTAAACACAATTTTTAGGGATCAAAAGATTGTATTTTTTTTCAGAAGATAATTTTTTTTATTTAAGGAGAAAAAAGAAAAAAAACAGAAAAAGGGTACAAGTAATATAAAATTTAAAAAATAAACAGTAAGAAATCACTAGTGAATAGATTACATATTCTCATCTTAGAAATAGTTGTTCAAATTACAAAATTGAAGCACATAAAGTGGACTTTCAAACAGTGAGAGTGCAAATAGTTTTGTTCAATGATCCAAAAAAAAACCCACTCAGTAATATGGTTATCTTATACACTTAAACATATATGCAGTTATAACCTTTAGAGCACTTTTTTTTTTTTTTTTGTAGAATGGCAGTTACACATTTTGGGTTTTATGACTCCCACAGTTCTTATTTTTTTTTTTTTTGAAGACAGTAAAACCAAATGCGACATATCAGAACAGTCAGTCAAATCAAAAGGATGGACATAATAATGTGAAAACAAAATACTAGGTGATCTCTATATTCGTGGACATAAGAGGCCACATATACAGAGTTCTTACTGAGTTTTCAGGCTAATAAATCCTAAGTGTCTCACGGAGTATTAAAGGTCAACCTATGCCAGTTACAAACAGGGCCTATTTTATATAGGCCCCAGTCCTAAATCTTAAAATGCTTTTATTCCCTTTTAAACTGCCATCCTGGTTTCACATCACTCAGGCCCTAGATCTAACCATACTTTTGATACTCATCTCTGCCTTACGACTCACAGGTTTTCATGTTTTGTCATCCACTTTGGTTCTTAATTTCTTACATTCTATTAATGATCATTTCTATACCAGGACTCTCTAACAGGATTGCCTACAGACTCCAACATAATATATACCAGAGACAAGCCTTACCTACCTACCTTTTAACTTTTATGCTTTCATATGGGGGAGTAAGCACCTCTCATAACTTCACTCCTCCTAATCCCACATTTAATTTTTCAGAATTCTGCCTTGCCATAAAAATGTTCCCACCTCAACGTCATCCTGATAGAATAACATGTCTAAATCAAAGATACCTTTCCCTCTACCTCTCTTGGGTCCATAAATATGACAGTGCCATGTCTCCTCATAACATCTTGTCTCTTTGTTTTTTTCAGTCTAACATACGTGCATTCACCAGTGAAGTTGTCATGGCTAAAACTCCTGGCACCAGCTTCTACCTAGACATCAACTGTCATCCCGTCGACTCCCCTAGACTCCAGTACAGTGCCCTCGGCCAGCAGGAAGTAGTTAAAGAGAGAAATCTTCGCCCCTTTTCCTAATAATCATAAGATGGGATATGAAAGGGTTGCTGGCCCAGGCCGGATACTGTAGCCAGTAAAGCCAGGGAGCTCTTATCTCCCCCCACCTTTAGAAATTACTTCTGGCACCAAACTAAGACCAGTGGGCTACCTGTACATCCCTAATGCCCCTTAGGTTCCACCCCAGGCTGAGGCTACTTATATGCCTCACTCCACGTGTTCCACAGAGAGATCGCTGGCCCCGGGGTGGAGATGCCATGCCCCAGGGGGTCAGGGGTGTCTCTCCCCGCATTCCCAAAATAAAGGTTACTTATATTTTATACTTCTTATCTTTTCAGCCGCCGCCAGTCCTCCTCCTTTTCCTTCCACTCCACAGTTCTATCAGTTACCATACTGCCTCTTGCTATTTTAAGAATTGGCAGTTATAATAAAATTGAACTAAACAGTAAAGAATAAAACCAAAGCATTGGAGACATTACAGGATTTTAAAAGAAAATAATAGTCAATCAGAATGGGTGTCATAATGATTCTTATTGTGTTCACAGTTATGCCTGTACTTTCGATATTGGTACTATCAAGCAAAGCAGAATAGGGGAAAATCAGTCAAAACAAGATGGTGAGGGCAATACAGGATTTCAAATCAAGTTAATAGGAAATCAAAGTAGGTTACTATAATGTATCCTGCTATTTTTTATTTATTTTCCCTTAATTAAAAAATAAAATTAAAAAAGTAAATAATTAAAAAAAGGGGGGGGGACTGAGATAAAAGAGGGCATAACAACAGAACAGCGCAGGTCAAATCATAACCATTTAAGCAAACCAGTGTTTTACCACAAGATATCCTGACATAAAAATAGTTACCATAGTGTCTCTTTCCTTGAAATCTTTGAGTATAACTTCTTATACTGTAGCACCAAAGATATCACGACACTATGAAACCATTCAAGAGAATGACATTATTGCAGGGTATTTAGAACCAATTGACAGAAAATGAACAATGGTTTCTATATAAACTCCTTGTCTATAAAAGTTTTTGCTTATACTATCATATATAATAAAATCCAATAAGATACAACCTTTTAACACCAATGGAGACTGAAGAATACACATTTGATGGGACTTCAAAACAAGATGATACTAAATCAGCACTAGCTATTATGATGTCTTGTTTTCTCCAAAATTGCTGTTCCTACCTTCCAATCTTCTCTGCCTCATTTCTGTTGAGCTCTTTTTCTGTCCTCTGTTGTCAGTTTGTCTTCTTCATTCTGTTTTCTGCTCCATTCATTGTGGCCTCTCAGCCACTATTTCTGGAATCTTGGTATTTTCTTTTTTTAGACTATCCTGCAGTATTCTCTGTAGAGTTGAATTAATGGTTGCAAATTCCCCTAGTTCCTCTTTATCCTGGAAGCACCTTGTTTTTCCATCAATTTCTAGGGACAGTTGTGCAGGATACATCAATCTTGCCTGGAGGTTATTATCTTTCAAAGCTTGAATTATTTCCCCCCACGCTCTTCGTGATTTGATGGTTTGTGCTGAGAAGTCTGCTGTAATTTTGATGGGTGTTCCTTTGTAAGTGATCTGTTTCTTGTCTCTGATGGCTTTTAATATTCTGTTCTTATATTGGATTTCTGTAATTTTGATTATTATGTGCCTGGGTGTAGCTCTGTTTGGGTTGTAGATTGCTGGGGTCCTGTATGCCTCATATATCTGAGTATCTTTACCATTTGCCAAATTAGGGAAATTCTCTTGGATTATTTCTGTGAATAGCTTTTATAGTCCATTTGTTTGTGTCCCTACTTCTTCTCTTATGTTCTTAATTCTTAAGTTATAGATCCTCTTACCATCTTCTAGTTTTTGTATTGTTGCTGTTTGTTTTTTTGTTATTTTTAAGAAGTTTTTCATTACATGCTCCCATATTACAAATCTGCCCTCCAGTTCAGATAATCTGTCCTTAGTTTCTTTCAAGCTGTTATGCCAGTTTTCAATAGAGTTTTTAGTTTCCTTGTAATCTCTTTGAACCTCCTTCATGTATTCTATGTTTTCTCTATTTTCTCCATCAAACAATTCTCCCCTTTTTTTCTGTTCTTCCATTTCACCATCTGTTTTTTCTTGGGCGGTACTTAGCATTTCTCTAACTATTCTGCTTATGTCTAGCTTCGGGTCATTCATAACTTCATTCCTGAACTCCTCTATGAGGCTCTGGAGATAGCACTTTATATCTATTGGTCCCATGTCTACTATTGCGTGTTTCTCGGGATTGGGGACTGCGGACCCTTTCTTGTTGCTCCCTCTTCCCATATTCTTTGTTCCTTATATTAAGCGTGTATAGGAGGCCCAGCTTCCTTCCCTGTCGGCCACAGTCTGTTTGAATTGCCGGCTAGGTGTTCCTGCCCACTGCAGTGTACTAGGGAGACACAGACCTGGGCAGCCACTTCTGGGCCCGCCCCTCCAGGTCAACCTACCCCCAAGGCTTCACTGCTAGGGTGCGCCTTCAGGTGCTGGGACCTGAGTTGGGCTAGCCTATTGGGTCTCAGCCAGCGGCTTCTCACAGGCCAGGCACTCCCCACCAATCCCGCTTGAGAGGGGGATATATGACTGAAGTCACTGCAGCTTCTTGTTCTGGGAAGTCTGCCTGGTCCGAGTATGTCCTCCGCTGAAGCCTGCTTCTCTATGTAAGGGTCCAATTCACTGGCTCACTCACCGCAGGTCGATGCAGGGCACTGGCCAGTCCTGCTCCCATCTCCTTTCAATGCTTCTCACTCTCCGAGGTTTTGCGCCTCTCTCCCTGCTGTGCCGACCGGGATGCAACAGCAGCTGCAGGTAATTCAAATTGCAGTTTCCAGTGGCGAGGGTCCAGCGTCCGCGCTGAGACCTTATCTGTGCCTGCTGTCTTGCCAGGATTGCATTTCCAGATGGTTTCTCTTAATTTAGTTCATTCCTGGGTCAGCAAAGAATATCCCCCCTTGCCTGGATCTTCCTGTCCTGCACCATTCCTAGATTTCAAGTGCGGTTTCTCCGGGAGCCTCAGAGGCTGCTGCTATTTATCCGCCATGTTCTTCTGGTAAAAAAGGTTGTATATTATGAACAAACTTATACCAACTGTCACTGACAGAAGCATCCCATCCAAACAACAGTGCAGTATTCACTGCTGTACATGGAGGAAATGTTTCCAACACAGTCACAAAATAAACCCCAATCAATTTAAAAGAATTTCAATTATGCAGAGAATTTTGTCTCACTATGATGAAATACGTTTAGAAATTAACACTAGGGACAGCACTATTTACCTAGAACCTGAAAGAGTAAACAGTTAAGAGGAAGCATGGGGATGGAGCTCAGGGACAAAGTGCCTGCCCGGCAAGCACAAGGCCCTGAGTTCAATTCCCAGGGCCAAAAATACAACCTAAAACAAAAACGGTTCAGGGGAGAATATTAGCAGATATATTTGAAAGCTCTGATGCAGAGAACAAACTTTTTGAAAGACAAGAAGGATCCAAGTCTCTGGACCTGAGCCTCATTTGCATGGAAGACACTGAATTGGTTAGAACCTTCCCAGTAACTGCAGGCTTGAATAGCTTCACTGCTGAATTTTAACCAGCACTGAAGGTAGAAGTAATATCAGTTTTACACATTGTCATAAGAATTTGAATAGAAAAATTTCTCAACTTATGAGGTCACTGTTGTGATTATTCAGAACGGACACAAGTATCACAGAGATAATCTATACATCAATACCCTTGAAAAGAACAGAGAGCAATGTTCTTAAAACTTAAACAATGGAAAGAAAGGCTTGTGGTTCACCACACCTCTTAGAGCATCACTGAAAAACACTAACTAAAGAGATTTCCACAGTAGTGACAGTGAATTATCATCTGAATTATTCAAGGTGATAAAAGCTTAAATTCAACAGAATGATCAGTACATTTACAAAATACACTACTACAAAATTACCTGAGCTAAAAAAAGACATGATACACAATGTAGATGAGTGACTTAGCAAGGAATTTGAGTCCACAAATGGTACCAAACAGAAATCCAAGAGAATTAAATTTGTATCCAAAGTGGGGGCAACAGAAATGACCACAAGGACAGAGCCCTGGAGTTAGAAGACAGGGCTGGTGTCAAGTGCCCAAATACTCAGGGACACCTTACAAAATTGGAACATGGACAGTAGATCCAACAGCTATTAGATGGTGCACAGACAACTAACTAGAATAAGTGAAAAACCACAAGACAGCACATATGGCATAAAAATCTGTGACAGAAACAATAGCAGAAAACTTTCTGGGGGCTAGGGATTTAGCTCAGCGGCATAAGCGCCTGCCTTGCAAAGCAGGCAGTCATGAGTTCGATCCCTGGTACCGATAAAAACAAAAAGACAAAAAAAAAAAAAAAAGAAAGAAAACTTTCTGAATATGGGGAAGTAACTTGACATGCAGATAAGAAAGACAGATGAAACCCCAAGTAGCCACAATCAGAAAAGGATCTCCCCATGACATATGACAGTCAATACCTGGGAAGTCCAAGGTGAGAACAGAATCTTATAACCTCATAAAGAAAAGCAAGGAATCACTTATAAATGTAAAACCATTAGAAATAAAGCACACTTCTCAAAACAAACCGTTAAGACCAGGAGAGCTTGGAGTGAGGTATTTCAACACATAAAAGAAAGCAACTTCCAACCCAGGTGATATATCCTACAAAACTCTCTTTCAAAACCGCTCTGCAGGACTTCAGGGTGACCACTTCCCTCGCTGGAGCCCAGCCAGTCCTGTCTGAAACACACTGTGGATGGCCTGGCTGCAAGGCCTCTCTAGCTTCCCTGGCCTTGAAACTGTCAGATTGTTTGACATTGTTAGTGTAGAAACAGGAGAAGTGACTGGGAGCCCCTGGCTTAGAGGGGCAGTGATCTCAGTGCCCAGGGATTTCCCTGAACTCTCAGAGGACGAGCAGGAGTTCTCCCAGGGCCTGGCACATGTATGACCGTCCTGATGTTCACCTCAGAGACAGAATACTGAACTCCAGTTGCAGGAGGTGTGTTGCCTCTCAGGATTTGGCAACTGTAGATAGAGAGCTTGTCTGCATGGCAGGATGTAGGTGAAACCTCCAGAGGAGTCTTCAAGGTTAGATGATGACACTGTGAACAGCATCCCTGCAAACTTTCCTGGTCTTGACTATTTCAGGAGCATAACACTAACTTTGTCATAAAGGTGCAGAAACATAGACACACATTCATTACCAGACACACATTCATTCTTTAGAATATTTCTATTGATGAGTTATTAACTTTACTTTTATAAGTGTTGTTATATTACACAGTGGCTTACCAGGAAAAAAAAACAAAAAAATATAAAATATTGAATTTTTAATATTTATTGAGTGTTTATAATAAAGCATCAAAATTTAAAACATCAACAATTTTTTGGCATAAAGTCTACAAAAAATAACAAAAATATTCCTATACAAATTACACTGAAAATACCAACAGCAATTTACAAAAAAGTAATCTTCACTTCAATTATCACATCTAAATCAGTCTGTGCACATGACCACAGCGTATTCCATAGACACATAATACTCACACTGGGAGCACACGTTTTGCTGTCCTACTCTTTTTGTAGGATATACTTGATATCTCAGTTTTGCTGTTTTGTCAAGGTTATTGTGTTACAGAGTGTGCAGCCAACAGGAACATAAAATATCAAAAGAAGTTCTTAAATTCTTACTGTGTGTTGTGCGTTTAGAATACACCTCAATGGGGCTGGGGGTTTAGCTCAGCACCATAAGCACCTGCCTTGCAAGCAGGCGGTCATGAGTTCAATCCCCGGTACCGATAAAAAAATGAAAAAGCCAAAAAAAAAAATAATAATACACATCGATATATTTTCACATCAGCTGTGTATTTCTTTATAAAACCCAAAGATAACATCAAAAATAGAAACCTATGTGAACTGCAATGTAAATAGAAACAAAAATCTACCACATAAATAAGCTTTGCTTCAACTGTCATATCCAAAGCAGTCTTTGCACTTGTCATACCCAAGGCAGTCTTGCATGTTCCATACACGAGGGACACTTCCACTGATAGCATGTTTTGTTTTCCTGTATTTTCTTGTAGGACACAGTTGAGATCTTTTTGTTTTCCTCTTATCATCGTGGATCTAGGAAGCTGTGTGTGCCTATTCACCTGTCAGCTCACCAGTGCACTCCACAGTACTTCACATAATTCACTGACAAGAAAAGCTGGATTTTTCTCTGCTGTAAATAATCTCATATGAACTGTAGTCCCAAACCATAAGAACATTTCTGTTCATAACATCATCTGGTTTATTATTCTATGAATAAACACCTTGTGGCTAAGTTCAAGGCTAAATGTCTAAATTGAAAGCATAAAAAGTCCTCACATGCACAAGGGCATGCATTATGCCATAGTTGACCCATCATTTTCCATGAGGCCTTTACATTCCTGCAATCACTATGAGAAATCCCTCCTAAGCACACTGATCCATAAATGCTTTCAGTTCAGCACCATGTCATAAAACATTTTTGAATATGGCTAATGGTGCATAGAGAACACTTTACTTGAATTTTAACCTCTGTATATTTCACAGAATCTTGTAACATTTCATGTGTTAAAATTTCCAACTTTGAATAGCAGTATCAGCATTCGTCCAATACATTTCACTCTTGCCAAGTCCCTCACTATATTTTGGACTTAGTATTAACATTAGATCATTTCATTTGGTTATGTGGCCATTTTGCAACATTTTCACTAGTCAAATATGTATTCACATTGTTTTGTCATCTTAACAAAGGAGGTCGGTATCAGTATCAGTTGATCTTTGCTCCACTTCACTGTCCCAGGAAGTTTGACTCACATGGCCAATTTCAAAGTCCTCTTCCTCCTCTTCATCGACATCCATCCATCCACAACACTCTTCTGTTATCAAAGTGTTTTGTCATAATGGATCATCTTCATCACTCATGCATGAGTAATCTGACGATTCATTCACTTGTGACCTCCTCCAAGATATAGTTTTCACATGCCATTGTACAGAACTGGGCTATTTCCACCAGAAAAATCAAAAGAAAGCCTTTAAAAAGACAAATCCTGGAGTAATGGGGGATTATTGAACCCTCTTTGATGCTTGAATAAACACACAAAAGCAGTTAGATGGAGCACAACGTGGGTGAAAATCCCATTTTGAGACTTTTGCACTTGCTCACACACCTCATTGTTTGACACAGCAAGTGGATAATCACATAAACTGCTTTCCAGTGTCCCTCAGGGGAAGGTAGTGACATGCCCAGCTGGCTATTGCACTAAAGTAAAATTTACTGGTACAGGATAGGCCTGCTGCATGTAGTTATGTTGCTACCTACACTCTAATATGTCCCTGTGTCTCCTGAAACCTTTTCTTAACCAAAGACCCACTCCAACAGTAGAGTGGCCAACTCTTCTGTATTTGGCACAGAGGACTTTTACTTTGTACTTTTTCTACCTTCTTGCTTTGCATCTAATTGGGTGAGGTTTCCCATCTCATCTCCCAGTCTCTGCTTTTGATTGGGAAGACACTGCCCCTTCATTAGAAGGGAATTAGAGCTTGCAAGAGTTTGCCTCTGTCAGGTGGCTGTTTCATGAGCCTTGCAGCATCTTGTCCTTGCTCTTTTTCGTCTTCTTCTTCTTTATTTTTTAAAATTTTATTTTATTTTATGTTTTTCGTATCAGGGATCAAACTCAGGACCTCACACTTGCCAGACAGATCTTATGCTGCTGAGTTGAATCCCTGGCCTAAAAAGAAGATAAAACCAAGGAAAATAAAACAGAACAAAACCGATCAAGATAAACCAGTATAAGTGATACAGGTCTTTAAAACTTAGAAAATCAGCAATAGTTACCATAATGCCTCTATCATCTTCAAAATAGCTGCAGATACCTTTGGACCTGGTAAAAATCAAACAACAGAATAGAGCAGAAACAACAAACACAAAACAATGACTGCAGTAAAGGACTTCAAAACAAGCTCACAGTAAGTCCAGAATGGCTACCATAACACGTCTTGCTATCTTTTGAACAGTTGTTCATGGCTGCAGATTTAATATAATCAAACAAAATGAAAGAAAAAAAACCCAACCAACAAAGCAATGAAAATGACATGGTTTCCAGGCAGAGCCCACCCCCTTGTGAGGCCTGGTTCTCGCTCCACAGTCTGCAAATGCTGCTGACTGGGAGAGAGGCTTGGGCGTGGCTGTCCCCACTCCAGCAGCAGCTGTCCTGCTCTTCTGCAGGAGCCATTCGTTTTGGAGTCAATGGGCTCGTCACCTGTGTAAAAGCTACTTATGTTTTCTTTGAGGATGCCGTGGATATAACTTTGAAAATCCCAAGGCCACCCCAGGGTGGTATGAATCCATGGCAGTTAAACATAGCCATATATAGGATGCTGCCCCATATCTGGGGAGTGAGTTTGTAGTTTCCTCCACGTATGCCACACTGTGTCTCAGGAAATACAGTACTACAGGGTGCATTGTTTTCTTTTCAATATGTGAGCCTCTAACATGTAGAATACAAAACCAGTCCTGATTTTCATAAAGGTCCACATATTCAGCTTTAACAGACTTTTCTTCAGACTTGAGTTCCTGCAAAAAAATTCTCCTTTGTGAGCCAGGGTCTTGCTCTGTAGCCCAGGCTGGCCTTGAACTCACAGTGATCATCTTGCCTCAGCCTCCTGAGTGCTGGATCACAGGCATGTGGGACCAGAGCTGGTTCTTCCATTTCAACCTAAGGGACTCCTCTACCCAAGGCAGGCCTAGTAGGAAGGATGGACATTCTTCAGTGCTTGCATCTAAGAATGTCTGAGCTTTCCCCCTCATTTTAAGGACAGTTTTGCTGGATGTAAAATGCTTAGTTGAGAGAGCTTTTTGTTTTGTTTCACTGTTTCATTCACACAGCACATGTCCACCTGTTTCCTTCTGTCCTCCTGTAACAGAATATCCCACACCCCAGTCAGTATACTGCAGTTTCTTAGTTGTCCAGTTCTGTCTCTAAGAAACGGCTGGTCACTGAGACGCCTAGCTGGTCACTGTGATGCACGTTGCATAAACCAGCCCCAATCAACAAGCCATTTTGCCCCTGTACTCCCCACTTGCTTATCCTATACAGGCCTCAGACCATCAGAGATCAGGGCCTGATATTCTGGGAATGTACCAATCAGTGCCCGTTGGTGTAAATAAATGTGTCTCCAACTCTTGGGTGTCCTTTCTGTGACTGTGCTTGCCGCTGCTCTCCAAGGATTTTGAGGATAAGTCTAATGACTATGTTTTTGGGGAATTGATGTCAGCTGCACAGGCATTAATTTGTCATATTTTGTACACTGACCGTTACGTTATTCTAATGTAAGTGAAGTTGCAGCATCACTTTGACACCAGTAAGAATTAAGAGCAAAAGGAACTGGAGATGCTGAGTGTAGACATCATGGGATCTCTAAATGTAAGAGGTATTACAGATGCTGAGAACAGATTCTCAGAACAGAAACAAAAGGGATATTGAAGCATCCTACAGGTTTGAATTTCAAAAACTCAAGTGTCAATCTCCATAACTCACATTAGTAAGACATTTTGTAACATTTTTCTGTTAGAAACAAAAGACCCTCATGGCCAAGAGTGTGAGGGGTGAAGTGGAGGTGACCAGCTCTGCCTGGGCCCACTGGCACCATGACTTCACAAGATCCCCTGTGAGGTCACAGCAGATAGCTGTATAAGGTAGGGTTTTCAGCCCAGAGACCCTTTGTGGGTGAAGTGGATTGGTGTTTGGAGAGTAGTTGGTGGTTGGAGATTCGAAATTTTGATAATTGATTTTATAATGTCTAGTTCCATCAAGGCATCCTTTGTGGCATGTAAAACATCTTTGCTGGACGTCATGTCATCGTCCACAGAAATGTCGTCGTCCACAGAAATCTTCTGGGAAGACTATGACATGCTGTTGCCCTTTAGTGAGGGTAACTTTGCCACAGTAGTACTCACTGAACATGTGAGCACAGGGATGCTGGTAGTTGTGAAGGTACTTCACAAGAACAAGTTGGGGCCTACTGCTGTTAAACAGGAGGTCAGCATTCTAAAGGACCTTCAGCACCCCAATATCATTCAGTTGCTGGAAGTGTCAGAAAATAGTACCTGTATGTTCCTGGTGTTGGAGTATGCGCGCGGGAAAGACCTGCAGCGCTTTATCAAGTTTGCTGAGACACAGAAGCTGGAGGAAGAGAGGGCCCGGCTGATATTCCGAGAACTCCTGGAGGCTGTGCGGTACTGCCATGACAGGGGGATTGTCCATGGGGACTTGAAACCAGCAAACATATTAATGGACCGTGAAGGCCACCCCAAGCTCAGCGATTTTGGCTTGGCTTTCAGGTTCCATCCTGGCCAGGAGGTGACCGCGTGTGGAGGTACCCTATACTATTCCGCCCCTGAGGTATTCTTAAAAGAGAACTACCAAGGCCCACCACTGGACATTTGGTCTTTAGGCATAATTTTATATGAAATGATCGCTGGGGTAAACCCATTTAATGGGAGCCAAGGACAAGGGATAGAGAATGCCCTGAAGGGGCGATACCAGTTTGCCCAGCACTTCTCCAAAGAGGTGCAAAGCTTAATCAAGGGTCTTCTCAACCCTGACCCAAGCATGCGCCCTACCATCGAGCAAGTAAGGCAGCATCCATGGCTTCGGCTGGAATCTGTCCCTCGTCATCCTCCTAAACTGCTCCCCAAAGCCACAGAAAGGGCAATACTGCACATTATGGATGGGAAGGGGTACAACCCGCTGAAGGTGATCGATGCAGTGAAGTACAGAAAATACGATCCTTACATGGCGCCCTTCCTGCTACTACGGGGCATGGCACTCTGGAAATTCCACTTCAGATCTGAGGCGAAGCCCACACACAAACATAAGGCTGAAGATCTGTTTGAACAGCCCACAAACAAAGATGACAATATGGATGAAATTCGGCTATCTTCATCTCCTCCCCCTGTAGCTGCCCCACCAGCTAGGAGGGAGAGTGAGCCCTGCCTCTTCACTGGCCACTTCCTCCCCGAGGTGAAGCCTCTCGGCCAGCAAAGGAAGACAGTCTCCCTGCCAATTGACATCAGCCGGACTCCCCCTGCTCGCACATCCTGCCAGCGCGGTCCAAACTTAGTTGGTACCTCTGGCCAGCCAGGCCCCGCTAATCTCATAGCATCCCACAAACCAAGTTGTGCTGCTGCTACTACCAAGGCCTGCCAGCCCAGCCATACTACTACCATCAAGTCCTGCCAGCCAGGCCCTTCTACTCCCAAAGCATCCCATCAACCAAGCCCTGCTTCTCCCATCAAGTCCTACCATCCAGGACCTGCTACCCCTAAAGCATCCCGTCAACCAAGCCCTGCTTCTCCCATCAAGAAAATCTTCCGTGCCTCTACTAGGCCATGCTGGCAGCCCAACCCTGCCTCTCCCGGTGAGTCCTTCCAGCACAGCCCTGGGACTCCAAATGTTGCCTTCACTGCTGCCCCAGCCCCTGTCAGCAGTAGGAGGTGGGGCTGGAAAACTGTCAAGAGAACCATGAGAGACTGCCTGCAGGCCCTGTGCTGCTGCCCCGTATCGACATGCAAGTGTCACAAACACAAGGTGGTCCCAGTGTAAGTACTGCACAGTAGAGAACCAGAGGTCACTCAAGGAGTCTGAGTGGTCCGGCTGCTTCCTCAGAATGTGCTGTGTCTCGATATCATTTTCAACTGTCAGGGAAGAACTGTAGGGAGGAGAGGAGGGGAGGGAGAAGGGCAGGTGTGGGCAGAGGCCAGGTGTGGGTAGGAGGAGTTGCAGTGGGGTCTGCTGCAGAGGAGGCTGGAGTGACCACAGCCACCACTGTCTGCTGTGTTTCCCAGTGAGCGTGCATTACACATGTCTCCTTGCCTTTGTAGTGCAGATCCATGATCCCTCCTATGGACGTGGTCATCCTGACAGCGAGGTCAGCCACACAAGTGGAAGCCACAGTGAGTTGCCTTGCAGCCCTTTGTGTAGGGAGCTGGAGGGGAGAGGAGGAGTCAAGATCACTAGTGCATCCTGTGGGCGAGAAGCAGAGGGAGGGGTTGGTGCACAGCATGGGAAGGCTGCACAGGCACCAGGAGCTGAGAGCCAGTGAGAGGAAGACAGGAGGAGCAGGGGGGAGAGTCACCTGGCTTGTATCCTGCTGTCTGAGGGAGGCTGCCCCAGGGACAGGGAGGGCTGGGCACCATGGACCTGACCACAACCTCCCATGAGGATGCAGGGAGACCTGGGTACCATGGACCTGACCACACCTGACCACAACCTCCCATGGGGATGCAAGGAGACCTGGGTCTGTGTCTGGGTGAAACTTTCCGAGTACAGCTTCAGCGTGATCCCAAAGACTCGGGCCTGGGCATCTCTGAGTCTTCTGTGCTCACCTCTCAGCAGGGCTGCGTGCAAGGCCTTTTGCCAAGAACACACCTAGTGTCACTTCGAGGATGGTGAGTCCAGGCAAAGAGAGGCAGTGCCATGTGTTCCATAGGCCAGAACCTTGTGGTCAGCCCTGGTCACCACACAGAAGCCTTGACTTGTGCATGTTGTGAGCAGCCAGGGGACATGCCAAGGCTACTCTGAGCCTCCATCCACCAAATTCATGATGGGAGCCGCTGCAGCCCTGCTCCTAAGCAGGTGTGTGACATTGTCCCTAGATCCTAGGCCCAGCCATCAAGTACCCTCTTCACTCTACAAACCTTTGTGATCCCTGCAGCATTCTTTTGGGGTCCTCCCTGCCCCTAAAAAGGGTGCTATGCTGTCCACTGCCACCGTGTGGTATCAAGATGGAACAGCAGTGGCAAGGAAGGGCTGGGTTCCAAGGTCTTGGGAAAGCTTTGTGCCCTCACCTTGGGGCTTCTGGGCCTCTTGAGAGTTTGAAGATGGGGAGAGGGGCAGGAACCCCAGAAAGCCTGACATTTCTAACAAGGTGAGTGTATGTGTGAAGGATGCAAAAGATCTGAGGCGTCTGAGCACTGCCCTGGTTTTATCCAGAGCCCTGCTCCTGGCACAAAGGAACAGCCTGAGTAGATCAAACCCTGCCTACATAAGCAGTGCTCAACTGCTCTGGCCTGTTCCACACCTCTAACTTCACACTGTTTCTCTGACTTCATGGTTTTGATTCTTATTGTGCCTGGCAGTAGGGTGTGTTCTGGGAAGAGCAAGGGGTCATCTACCATCACCCCCACACATCCCCATGAAGAGACATGGACCCAAACCCTGGCCTTCTGAATGCTGTCCCCAAGTCTGTGTCTGCAAGCCTTTGAAAGGAGCACATTGCCAAGTCTTGTGTCACTGAACAGAGACTAACATCCAGCCTCGAGGGCACACAGGCATGCGTGTTGTGGGGACAGAGTTTGGAACAAGAGAAATCTCCACACATGGGGGCGTTGCTTGCCACCGTGGGAACAGTGACATTTGGTAAAGAGAAGACATTCGTGGCTTCCAAACTGTGGTCTGTGTTTGCAGCATCTGGGGCAGGATCTGAACCAGAGTGTTCAGGGCAAGTTGGAACATGCACATAACACATGTCATCATGCATCTTGCTTCTGTATTTTCTCACTTTCTATTTTCGTACTTGCTTTGTGCCTTGAGGCTTGTAAATTGCTTATAGTCAGTAGCTTATTGCCAGCATTGGGACCTCTTTAGGAAATGACTACTTTTTCAGAGATGTTCTGTATGGGTAGCTGGCTTTGGAGTCTATTTTCCCAAGATTTTGCCTTTTCTTTTTTCTTTTTTCAAAACAAGAAACTATGGAATTTCTTTTTTGGTACTGGGAATCAAACTCAGGGTCTTGTGGTTGCCAGGCAGGAGCTGTGCCACTGAGCTCCATCCCCAGCTCTGCCTCTTCAGTTCGGTAGGAATGAAGGGCTGCTGCCTGTTTGGCCCAGCAACCAGTTTTTTGGTTTTGGACTACAGGATTGTAGACAACTGAGGTGGTGTTGTTCAAAGAAGATCAATTGATGCCAATAACTCTGTCACTTTGGCTAAAATAGTACAGTCTGCAATAACAACTGCATCCAGCACAGGCCAGGAAATGATAAGCTGTTTTGACCAAGAACATGCCTGCTTTAACCACAGGTATGAGATTTACAGTTACACAGCCAAATCTAAGGCAAAGCAGAATATTATATACAGTAAATATATATACTCAATAGAGTAATTTACCCTAAAGGGAGAAAATTTATTAGGGATACCAAGAAAATATAGAAAAATAGAGATAAGAAGACTGAAGTACAAAGGGAGATTACCAAGTCTTAGAAAACGAGTGATAAAACAGGAGCAAAAAGCAGGACCAAAAAAGAGAGAAAAATACAAAAGCTGAGAACAATGTACACAGGCAGGAAAAACAAAACACAAAGACAAAAAGTTCTCTGACTTTAAACCTGTGGCAGGCCTCTGCGGTCTGTGGTCTTATTGCAGTGTCCAGTGCAGAGAAGACAGTGGAGGCATTCCGAGCCCAGCTGCGTGCTGTCAGATCCCAGCAAGCCTGCAGTAGTGTTTCGCTGAGTTAGCTAGAAATACTATAGGCAGGGAGACAGGGCTAGGTCCTGAAGGAGCCAGTGCAGGAGCTCAGATACCTTGCAGCTAAGGGGAGACAGGCACCTCCTGCTGTGGGCCAAACCTCAAGACAAAAGATCAAACAAATACATCCATAAGGACTGATGTTCTAAATAGCTTCTTAGCACCCCGCGGAAGTCAGGAGTCACCATTCCAACCCCCTAGGGAAGATTCACTGCTCTCTAAGAATGCCTGCTTTCTAAGTGGCTCACTTCCCCATTTGTCCCCAATTTAATGAATTTACCTGAACTATTAATCTTATTGGTTAACCATAGTTCTGCCCTACCTTATGCCCATCTGCCTTGTGAGTTCCCAGTTTTGCCCACAAGTCCATCTCATCCCATGATTTTCCTCTATAAAAGTCCCTGGGAAAGACAGAGTCCCACTGCTTGGGACTCCTTCTGTCTCTCTCAGACAGAAGCTTGCTTTCTCTCAATAAATATATTTTACTCTTTACCTCTATTGTTCCTAAAATTTACTCTTTGATTTTAGAGAACATGAATTCACCTTCAGCCGGTTGTACCCCTTCCCAGCCATAATGTGCAGTATTGCCCTTTCTGTGGCTCTGGGGAGCAGTTGAGGATGACAAGGGACAGATTCAAGCTGAAGCCATGGATGCTGCCTTACTTGCTCTAAGGTAGGGCGCATGCTTGGGTCAGGTTTGAGAAGCCCCTTGATTAAGCTTTGCACCTCTTTGGAGAAGTGCTGGGGAAACTGGTATCGCCCCTTTAGGGCATTCTTTGTCAACTGTGTTTTGCTCCTCCTGACATAGTAGGTCAGGAGTTTCACTCCCCTATATCATTTGGAGGTCTTCCACTGAGATCATTGGAAAGAGGTGAGAATTTGCTTTTGCTTCATAGACTCTCAAGTGGGACTTATTTAGGTAACAAATTTTTATGCCTCCAACTTTGCTTTTATATTTGCCAGTTACTTTTGATAATTGCTTGCTATTTGCCCATTGTTTTAAAGTGCTTTGTCTCATATAGTTTTATTAAAATAATGTAAATCAGCTGGGCATGGTGGCTCATATCTGGAATCCCAGCACTCAGGAGGCTAGGGCAGGAGGATCCTTGTGAGTTCCAGACCAGCCTGGGCTACAAAGTGAGCTCAAGGCCAGCCTGAACTGCATAGGGAGACCCTGTCTCAGACAAAAAAACAAACAAACAAACAAACAAACAAAAAATGTAATATAAATCCAAGTTTAAACACAGGAAAATTAAAAGGTCATGATATTTTTTTAATGCTATATACTAGCAAAAAGAGCTTCCTTATGTTTGTATAATGCCAAAGTACCTGTAATGCTACCTACTGTTCTGTATGCGATCCCCCCCCAGCCCCCTCTGGGTGACCTCATATGTTAATCAATACTCCCTTCTGTAAAAAATTGTAAATCCCTGGGAACCTAACCTAATTGATATGTTAACCATTGTTGCCCTCTACAAATAACAGATGTGGTACTAAAATAAGCTGACAAAGGTTTATTAACTACTGCTAGGCTACTCTGTCCTCTGCTAAGGAAAACATTTCCTTAGCAGATTTCCTGATCCACCCCCATAACCCTTTTATAAACTGTGCTCTCTACAAAAGAGCTAGAAAGCTTTAAGGGGGACACACAGCTTTTGCAAGCTCCACCTGCACTGTGTCAGTGGGCCTAGGATAAAATAAATCAGCGCTGTTTTTTTAAAATAAAAATATGTATGCCCATTTTTGAATTCGAGTTTGGGCTTTGGAGGGCTTGTTTGTGGATTACAAGATTAAGGGGCTCACCTGGGAGTACTGGGGGACCCCTCCAAATTGTTTTTTCACCGATCAATTGGCTTAACATCTGTAAGTATTTGGTTTTTTGCCTGTTTGTAATCTGAGTGTGCACATTTGTAACTGCAGATAAAATGAGACAACTTCCAGGGGCCTTTTTGCCCATTTTGTAATTTAGGGCTTTTGGGGCCCATTCGTAACTTTGGGCTTCGGCCCGTGTAGGGGTTTTTGCCCATTTGTAATTTGAATGTGCACAGTGACTGCAGACAAGCTCGCGCTTTTTCTGCACTGGATTCTGGGGGCTCTCGCCTACTTGTAATGTGTGTGGCCTATGCCCGTGTGGGGGACCTAGGCCCATGTGTATGGCCTAGACCCATGTGGGGGACCTGGGGCTGTGTGTATGGCATAGGCCTATGTGGGGGACCTACGCCCATGTGGGGTGTTGGGGCCTGTTTGTGTTTTAGGGCCCGTTTTCTTTCACCCAGCAATCCCTGGTACTGATAAAATTTTTTTTTACTAACTTAGGGGCTTGTTGTCCATTTCTGTTGCAGGATCAATGTGGCTTATTGGACTCAAGGTTCATAACAAAAATTATTTCCTTTAGCTTGCCAAACTGGGGGCAGAAAAACCTTCATTTATGTCTTTAATGTTGGTTTTATCTTTTGTGGCACCTTGTTTAATGTTTTTATCCTCAACTGATTACTTGCAACCTCGGCATGCCTTTTAAATGTATTTTTCTTTATGGTTAAAATGTGAATATATGTGCGCATATATATGTATATTTATGGTTTTTAAAAATCATATTAACTTTTGCAAGTAAAAACCAGGTCATACTATAATTGAGCCAGTTAAAAAAGTTAGTTTTTAAAATGTAGCATTTTAATGTGGTGAAAAGAAATAAAATGATTACATAAGTTTTAGACTACTAAAAGAAAGTCATTTCAAGCATTTTGTTAAAGGTTTTAACAAAACCTAAAAATCAAGAGAAAAAGTAATTGACTGATAATAAATTTTAAAAAGTGGTTTTGTCTTAAAATAAAAATGTAAAAGAGAAAATGCTTTTTGTGCTATGGCTATCAAGAGCAAAGAGCTCAACAGGATGATTTGCAATATTGTGAGTTTGGGGGAGGGGAATTTCCAGGAATGCTATAGATTATAAAGACAAAGTTGAGATTTTGATTGCTTGCAAAAAACAGAGAAAAAAAATTCGTCTTCTACTACAATAAGCTGATCTAAATTTAAAAGAAATAACTATTATGCCTAATGTGACTGGTGATTATAGAGATAAAATATAAGTTCTTGCATGTGCTGTGGATATCTGGGAGATTATGCGGCACAATTACTTTTGTTACCTATGAAAAAGCCTTTTTTTGTTAAGTATGTACTTTCAGTAAAACAGTGGCCTGCCATGTGGGCAATGGCCCACCCTGGGACAAAAAAACAAAAACAAAAACAAAAAAAAAAACAGTGTGCCATCCAGATAAAACCTGCCTCTGATCCAGAATGCCAAAACCATGTTTTCCTTTTGTCCCACCCCAATTGGACAACCAGAGGTGACGAGGTTCCTTATGGGTATTGCCAGTTGTTCTCAGTAGC